AACAGCATAAGCTGTTAAGTTATTGCTTATGCTGAAGTTAAACAATTTAACAAGTTCATATAGCATTTACTTAAAATCTAAAGTACTTAAGAATATAGGAGAGCAGTGTCCATAGTAGATTTGCTGTTGTTCATTCCCACTCACACACAGACCTGAAGGAGCCTGTACAAGGAACCTCTGAAGAATTCCCCTCAAGCTCCTGGAAATACATCAGATGTCTTTGCATCTTCTCAACAGGCAAAGAGTTGAGCCTCAAGGAATGGTTGTAATTCCTTTCCATCCTGGCCACAATTCAGGTCAGCAGCTTCTTTGAAAGTTCAATAACAAAAATGTTGTTCCGCTCTGGTTGTTATTCAGGCAAGAAAAATAGTTTTCCAAGGCTGTTTGTAAGAATCAGGAGTTTGTTAGACAGCACAAGTTCCTGGGAGCAGACAGTGTTTCTGATAAGATTGAGAGTTGCTCAGCCAAGGTGCTGTTCTCAAGGCCAAGGCCTAACAAACATTTCTGAAATCATAGTGCAGCTCAGGAGCTGGGGGAAGGCACCACCAGAATCCACCCTGTGACTAAAAACAAGAGTGGCCATGTTGTCACCTCTTGCCTCTGTGCCTATGAGCAGATATTTATTATGTACAACTTAAAAATTGTGAGAAATTTTTGATCAGGTTAACTAAATACTGTGATTTTTAAGACTGAGGGAACAATATTATGTTGAATGTGAGGGAACAATATTATGTATGCAAGGACATCTGTGGGACAGTGCTACCTGTCTAGCTAATATAAACACTCCAGCATACAAAACACTACAGGACATTAAGCATAAAATGACAGAAATCAGCAAAATTACAACAGGATGCAATGTTAAATCTGGAATTCCTGTTGCAGTGGGTGACCACCCAAACACCACCCCACCAGTGATGGTCTCCATTTCTCATCACACGATGTATCTATTCTGTATTTGATGAATAGTGATTAGAGCTCTGTGTCCATTGCTTCAGCCACCTTCCAGCAGTGAGCACAGCTCTTTGTGCTGCAGTAATTTTTCCACCAGTGCAAGGTTCATTCCAGTGGGGGTGAGCAGGAGATCTTGCTGGGATGTGTAGGTAGATTGTAGCAATTCATGGGTTGTGACAGAACTGAATAGTTGAAGTCACATCCTCCGATTTTGGAGAAAACTACAAACCCAAATATTTGGCTATTTCTATAGTGTTGTGGTCTCTGTGGAATCACAAATACTTCTTACTCTTCCCAATGTATATAAGTACAGTTAGAAGCATTTCAGCAGGACCAGTATTTCAAAATGACAAGCATTTTGTTCACTGCCAAGACAAATGTCTTGGGCATTAGTATTGGTGTTACTTTCACAAATAAATCCCTGTTGTTCCTGTACAACACACACATCAACAGTGACAGCTTGCCATTTGTTTCCATTTTGTTGGCCCGAGCTCTGTGTCGTGTTGGAAATAATTCCATGGTGATTTAACCCCAGTGCAGTGATTGGATATATGGGGTTTACCAAAGCACTGTGTATTGTTAAAGCAAAAGCTGTGGCTTTGCTGTTGGTAGGGTCAGAAGTGAAGTTAACTGGATGCCACCAAGGTTGAAATTCTCATTGAAATTTGTTTGCATTATCCTTGATTACCTTTTACATTGCAGTGGTCAGGGTACCTCCATAGCTTTCTCTTCTAGCTGCTGCTGCAGTGAATTGTCTTGGATGCAGCTGTAGGCAGGGACACATGCAGGCTCCAGAATGAGGAGGAGAGTGAAGAGGAAGGAGCTTGCTGGCTGTGCCCATCTTGTCTGTCTCCTGCCACCACCTCCAAGGTGGGATGCTTGGACACCTGGGCCTGTGGGATCTGCCTGCCCAGGAGAGCAGGGAACCACGGCAGGGAATTGTGAGAGGCCCCTGTAGTTTCCAGCCCCTCAGACATGGAGAAGAGAAGGAAGAAAGTGGAAGCCAGTGAAAGAGACATCACTAAGGCAGAAGCTCTTCCCAGCCCCTCTGGGTGCTCCCCCTGAGCCACCCCCTCCTTTGGGGTCTGCATCCCTCATGCTTTTGGGGAGTTGCTGCCCCTTCTTGGCTGCTGAGGATGTGCAGGAGGCTAAGCCCTGCCCAGAGTGCCCTGTGCCATCCTGGCCAGGCCCTGTGCTGCCCCTGGCTCTGTGCAGACCATGGAGGGGGCAAAGGACCCAGGGACCCTGCCCTGGGGCTCACCCTGCCATTCACCTGTCCAAGGTCAGGGCTCTCTGCCAGGAGATGATCTCCCACAAGGAGATCAATTACTTGAAGGCAGAGCACATGGCAGAGAACATCTGGAGCATCCAGGAATCCCTTCACTTGGTGAGCTGCCACTGGTGCCTCCTGGAGCTGCCCCTCACTGGCTGCTCTGCTGCTCTGCAGCCTTTGGAGGCTCCCAGTGTGAAGGGCACTAGGAAGGAAGAGAGGGAAGGGTGTCCAAAGAGTGGAATGTGGGGGCTCATCCCAACCCACCTGGAGCCCCCTACACTCCTGCCAGCCTCTCTCCAGCCCCAGAGGAGGTGGCAGCACAGCGTGCTGGGACGTGCTGAAGGATCTCCTGGTGGGCAGCAAAGCAGAAGGAGGAAGAGGAGGCCAAGGTCTGCCAGTGGAGCAGGACTGCAGCCCCCTGTACCTCCAGCCACTGCGTGCCCCAAGGTCTGCTCCTGTTCCCTGCACATCCCACCAGGAGGCACAGCCTGGCACAGGCAGAGCCAGGGCAGCTCCAGTGTGCTCTCTGTTTTCTGCTCAGAAAAGGGCTGTGCTCAGGGTGATGGGAGAAACAGCAGGAGCCTGGGCCAGGCTGCACTGGATCCCAGCACAGCCCCTCCATCCACCACAGCCCCTCCATCCCAGCACAGCCCCTCCTTGGTGCCTGAAACCCTTGGCTGGGGAGGAACCTTTTGAAATGCAACAAAGGCAAGCCCATGCCCTGCACCCTGGGGTGTTCATCCAGGATCCCCCAGCACCCACACCTCCATCCTGTGGGTGCAGCCAGCACGAGGCCACCCAGCAGCACAGAGCCTCTGTCCAACTGTGGCTGGGACTCAGCTGAGTGCCATGGGGACAGCGATGGCCTTGGGGACAGCTCTGGCCCTGTTCCCTCTGGCTGTCATAGCCAGGAGCCGTATGATGCCCTGGCATCAGACCCATTTAGCCAGTGATGGAACTGTGGGGGTGCTGGTGATGTCCTGGGTTACCGTCGTCCGAAGACAGTAAGAGGGGAGGCAGAGGAGTGGGCAGCTCCAGGATGGAGCCCCTCTGAAAGAGCAGCTGCTCATGGCTGCCCAGGACACACAGGGATGGGAGGTGGAGGGCTCAGGCTCCCACAGCTGCCATCCCAACCAGCCTCACACCTTATCCTTGCTTGGTGAGCACTCTGGACCCCCTGTGCCCTGCCAGGAGGGCAGGTCATGACCTGGCTTTGGCAGCATGTACCATGAGAGGATGGTCCTGGACCTTCAGGATGTCCTGGAACTGTATTAAGGCAAAACAGCACCAAACAGTCAATTAGAAAGTTGGAGGTTTTTGGCAGCAAGGATTTAAACCTTGTGATAGGTTGTACAGACTGGCGGCAACAATTTAAACACTCCTGAACAGCCTGTGGATTAAATTTCCCCGGACAACATGTGGATTAAATTTCCCTGAGGAACAGCCCACAGATTAAGTTTATTTCAACAGTGTGTGGATTAAAATTCTCTGAACAACACGTGGCAACTTTTTTGAGCAGCCCACAAATTAAACTTCCCTGATGAAAAGCCCGTGGATTACACAACTACCCCAACGGACAGCTCGTGAGTTAAATTTCCCTGAATACATGTGGAAACAGAGATTTCTTAACAGTCCATGGCAGCAACAATTTAAACTTTGTTTTCCTTCCTTTCCTCCTTCCTTTCTCCCTCTCCTTAGAAGTTTAAATTGCTTGTGTTTATCTGCTTTTCCCTGCTTGTATGGCTCTTTGCTTTGGAGTGAGGTGCTGAAAATCTGTGTATTGGTGGAGTCAGCAGCAGCTTTCCACCCTTCCCACATCTAAGGGAAGGGAAACTCTCATCCTTTTGAGACCCCAAAAAGGAATGACTGGAGGTGCTTCCTCTCTGGGGCTGGTCTCCTCCTGGAGTGTTCTGGAATGCTCCAGGCTGTGTGACAACACGGATCACCCCTCCACAGGGCACAGCTCTCCTGGGCAGGCTCAACTCACCCTGCGAGCGGCTCCTGGGGCACCTCCTGCCCAATGTGAGCTGTCCTTGGAGTCATTTTGGGGCTGAAAGTGGTAAAGGCTGGAGGTGCTGTGGCACATGGTCCCTTGCAGGTCCTGCTGGTTGCTGGAACCAGGACATCAGCGGCAGCAGGGGACAATGGGGACATTCCACACAGGGCTGAGTCATTGCTGTGCAACAATGGGCGCTCTTTGCCAGGGCAGGGGGACACTGCAAAGAGGGACACAGGTGGCACAGGCTCCGGAGCAAGGAGGAGACTGAAGAGGAAGGAACCTGTTGGCTGTGCACCTCTTCCTCTTCCTTCTCCTCCTTTTAACACCTCCTACCACTGCCTACCACCCTGCCTGCTCCTCTCCAGAGCAATAGCACAAGAGGCTCCTGTTCCTGGCAGTTCTGTGCTTTTGGACAGACCAGCAGCCATGGCAACGCTCACTCTGGGCCAGATGCTGGATGCTGCCCTCGGGTCATCAAGAGCTGGAGCCATCGACTTTGAGCAACTGCACAACCTCCTGAATGGGATGCTTTTGCACCTGGGTCTGCGTGATCTTCTTGTCCAGGAGAATGGGGAACCGCTGGAGGGGGCCGAGGAAAGCCCTTTCGCTTTCCTTAAGGAGTTAAAGGAGAGAGTGGAAGCCAATGAAAAAGAACTCGCCGAGGTAGAGGCTCTTCCCAGCCCCAGGTGCTCCCCCCAAGCCACCCCTTCCTCTGGAATCTCAACCCCCTCATGCTCCTGGGGAGCTGCTGCTGAGGATGTGCTGAGGGCCAAGCACTGCCCCTGGCTCTGTGCAGACCGTGGTGGCTGCAAAGGACCTGGGTCCCAGGGACCCTGCCCTGGGGCTCACCCCACCATCCCCCTCTCCTAGGTGCGGGCTCTTTGCCAGGAGCTGCGTGAGGAGGTCAACGAGGTGAAGTTGCAGCAGTCCCACATGGCAGAGGACATGCAGTACATGCTACAGAATTTTAACATGGTGAGCTGCTACTGGTGCCCCCTTGAGCTGCCCCTGCCCTGCAGCCCTTGCAGGCTCCCAGCGTGAAGGGCACCAGGAGGGACGAGAGGGAAGGGAAGAGAGAACGTGGGTGCTCATCCCAACCCACCTGGAGCCCCCCACTTTCCTTCTGCCAGCACTGCCCCAGGGAGGGCAGAAGGGCACCACTGCCCACAGGTCAGGCCAGTGGTTGAGGTCACTGCCTCCCTCAGACAGGGCTGCTGAGGCATTTGTGAGCTAAACAGCCATCAAAAAAAAGTAACCTGTGTCCAGGGAGGGTGAGGAGACAAAGGTCCACCTGTGAAATACAGCCACAGCCACTTGGCATAGCCCTGTCCAGGACCCCTCTGTCTGATGTCCAAGTGAATTTGCAAACATCCCTTTTAAATCCTGCTCCTGTGTTCTGACTCCTGTCCCTGTCCTCACCCTACTCCAGGAAGAATTCCAGAAAATGATGGATGAACTCCGTAACCAGCTGTTGGAGTCTCTCATGGTATGTCCTTGAGCATACCCAGGGTCTGCTCCAGGGTAGGGGACCCTCATATCAGGACATGGTCCCCAGATGTTCTGGGGGGCGGGGGGGAGGGGGTCAACACTCCTCTGGATCCCATCCTGTCCCCAGTTACACAGATGTCTCTGATGCCTTCCTTCCCAAAATAAAATCTGGAAAAGTGGCTAATGCTCTCCCCAGCCCCAGAGGAGGTGAGAAACATGGTGTGCTGGGACATGCTGGAGGACTTCCTGGTGGGCAGGAAAGCAGGAGAAGGAGGAGGAAGAGGAGGTCAAGGTCTGGCAGGTGGAGCGGGATCGCAGCCCCCTGCACCCCAGCGCCTCTGCTGAGGTTGCTCAGGACTCCTCTTCCCTGTGCATCCCACCAGGAGAAGGACCTGGCACAGGCTGAGCCAGGGCAGCTCCTCAGCTGGCCTAACATGTGCTCCCAGCTTGTTTTCTGCTCAGGAAAGGGCCATGTTCAGGAGCTGGTACCTCCCTGGGTATGGCCAGGCTGCATTGACATCGCACCACAGCCCCTCCTTGCTCAGCATCAGGCAGGACCAGGGCTCCCTGCCCTCCAGGTCTCTCTGGAGTGGTGGCTAGGGCTGGGGGACAGCAGAGGGATGTCACAAGTCCCGTTGCTAGAGGCAAGAATGCCTTGCTATTGTATTAGATGGCATCAGTTGGGTGTTTGCTGATCCCCTGGGTTGGCTGCGAAAACCATGATCGTGGAGGTGCCCAAAGGGATAAACTGGCTGGGGAGGGACATTTTGAAGTTCAGCACAGGCAGGTGCAGGGTCCTTCACCTGCGAGGAACAGCCCAGGCACCAGCACAGGCCGGGACTGCCCCGCTGGAAAAGCAGCGCTGTGGGGAAGGAGCTGGGGCTCCTGGTGGACAAGGAGCTGTCCATGAGCAGCGCTGTGCCCGAGGGCACGAGAAGGGCACTGGTGTCCCCGTTAGGAGAGCATTTCCAGCAGCTCTGGGGGGGATGCTGCCCCTCTGCTCAGCCCTGGCCAGGCCTCCCCTGGAGCAGTGTCCAGCTCTGGGCTCCCCGGGATGAGACACGGGTCCTGGAGCGGGTCCTGTGGAGGGCCTCAAAGATGGTCTGGGGACTGGGCCATCTCTGTCCTGGGGAAAGACTGAGGGTGCTGGGGCTGTTTAGCCTCAAGAGGAAACACTGAAAGGGAACCAAGGCTGGGAGGCTGATGCTGAGCATCCAGGGGGTATCTGTGCCTCAGTTTCCCCAGGAAGAGCTGGGTTGGGAGGCTGGCTTGGGGATCCTGAATGCAGCCCAGTGTGGTAGCCAGCCCATCCTCTCCTTCCCAGTCTGCCATGAAGAACATGATGGGTGGACCCAGCTCCCGAGACAAGAAGTCTGGCCCCCAGCTCCTAGAGGAGGATGACCAAGGGCTGATTGTCATCGGCAACGAAAGTACCTCTGGGCACAGCTGGGTGGGGAGCCGGAGGGGGTGAGGGCACAGCGGGCCGGGCAGGGGGCCTGCACTGCTGGCTTGTCCCCCTGCCATGCTCCCCCTGGCTCCCCTGACCCTGGGCAGCTCCTTCTGGTTTCTTCTTCCAGTTACCCTCGTGGAAAAGCCCAAGACACCGAGGCATGGGGAGAACCAGCCTGCCAGCCCTCTGTCCTCCAATGGCAAGACACAGGGCAAGGGGAAGGAGGAGAATGCGAGCAGCGACACAGTCTCCACTGGGGAAAATGACATGGGACAGAACGGGGGACGGAGTGGCATGGGACGGAGGGGCATGGGATGGGGTATGGGGCAGAAGGACACGAGACGAAATATGCAGTGGGGTGACACGGGACAGAATGACACGGAACAGAAGGACATGGGAAGGAGTGGGCGGTGGAGCAACAGAGGACAGAATGGCGTGGGACAGGATGACCTAGGACAGAATGACATGGGACAGAAGGGCATGGGGAGGAATGTGAGATGGAGTGACAGAGAATGGAGTGACATGGGACAGGATGACATGGGACAGGATGACATGGGACAGGATGACATGGAACAGATCAAGAATGAAGAGACCGAGATAGACATCTCTGAGGTAGAGGCTCTTCCCAGCTCCCTGGATATTCCCCCTGAGGTGACCAACATGGGAGAGATCAAGGAAGAAGAGACCAAGATGAGCATCTCCAAGGTAGGAGCTCTTCCCAACCCCGTGGGTGCTCCCCCTGAGACACCCCCTCCTTTGGGGTCTGCACCCCATCTTGCTGTCCTGAGACCAAGGTCTGGTTTAAGACCAAGCTCACAGTGGCACAGGGGGCTTCCTTGAGGGAAAGGGGTGGAGCTCTGGAGGCGAGAGCTGGGGCTGAAACACTGCTCTGCTTGCTCGGGCTGCTCCCCATGTTCAGAAAAAGGATTTGGATGGCAGTTTTACCACCTCAGAAATGCATCCAAGAGCCCCTGGCACCCCTGTCCCAGTGCAGCGGGTGCAGTCAGTACGAGGCCACCCAGGATCCCAGAACCTCTGGATCCCAGCTGACAGCACGGCTGGGCCTAGCAGGTGAGTGTCACAGGGACAGTAATGGCTTTGGGGACAGAACTGGCCCTGTTCCCTCTGGCTGGGCCCATGTGGTGCCCTGGCGTTGGATCCATTATCCACTGATGGAACCGTGGGGATGCTGATGATGATTTCCTCCCAGTGGCAGTAGGCTCCCAGCATCCAAGGAGGAACATGGAGGAGGCGGCGTCAGGATGGAGCCATACCCAGCTGAAGCTGGACTGTAGGTGCAAAGGCTTTTGTGACAAGTGTGGGGGACAGTGGCTTGTCCCCTGGCAGGGCTGGGACACGCAGTGCCAGAGCCAGGTCGCGACCTGGCAGGGCACAGGGGGGTCCTGGGTGCTGACCCAGCAAGGATAAGGTGTGAGGCTGGTGGGGATGGCAGCTCTGGGAGCCTGAGCCCTCCACCTCCCATCCCTGCGTGTCCTGGGCAGCCACGAGCAGCCAGCCTATTTTGGGGGCACCAGTGGGACCGAGGTGAGCGTGTCCCAGGCTGGGAGCATCCCACCCCAGTAAGGGGTACAGGAACCCCCTCCTTTGACCTTGCCAGCTGCCCCAGTTCCCATGGGACTGGGTTGCCCCTGGGAGACATTCCCATAGCAGTGGGTTTTGGGAGTTTCCCTCTGTGGATTCACCATTATCCAGTATGAGCTGGAGCTTTGTCCAGGTGGGACTCCACAAATAGCCCATTTCCCCCATCACAGCCCCTTTATTTTGTAACCAGCCAGTGCATTGGACTGTGCTGTGGTGGTGGTGGAGAACCCAGGCTCAGCACCCCCCGATTCCCCTGAAAATGCTGGAGCTCCCTGCGGTGCCTGGCGCAGCTCTTGGCTCTGCCTGCACAGTCAGGGCTGTGCCCCCAGGAGCCTGCCCAGCTCTTTTCTCCCTGCTTTAGGACGCTCCTGAGGGTGCCCTCTTCCGAGTACTCACCTTGTGAACCGCTTGTGAAGTTGCCTGGCCAGTGAGTGGCACCAGCATCGGTGCATCGGGGGTGGGACAGGGGCAGAGGGGTGCTGGCAGTGCCCTGCAGTGTCAGGGCTGGCTCGTCTGGCCCTGTCACCCACCCGGGGCCCCTGTCACCCTCCCAGACGCTCTGACTTCATCCCGTCCACGCCACCGGCTTCCCCCGGCCTCTCCATGCGCCTGCCCCATCTGCGCAGGCAGGAGCCCAGGTAGGGACCTGGGGACCCCCCCTGGCCCCTGGGGAGCCCTTTCCCAGCAAGCAGAGCTCTCTCCTGGCTGGGGTGGAAGGGGCTGGAGGTGCCCAGGCAGTGAGGAGCTGCAGAGGGTCAGCTGGGCTTGGCCCAGGTCAGAGGGGTTTTACAGCCCCCTGTGCTGTCCTGCCAAGCCCTGAAGCCACATGGGATGAGTTGTGTTTGGTGTCAGCCTCAGCTCAGGCTTGGTGGGGATTTGGTGCCACCTGTGAAAGGAGTTCCCAAAATCAAGCCCTGGAGCTGGGGCAGGCCTGCTCCTGCCTCCTGGTGTCCCCTGCAATGGGCACCAGGACCTGTCACGGCCATGGGCAGCTCTTGGGGCTGTGGGGAAAGGGCAGATCCTGCAGGGCTGGGTGGGCAGGGGTGTCCTGCAGCAGCTGGAGGAGGGGGAGCACCCCCTGCACCCCTCCCTGGCATAGCAGGTTGAAGCACAGGGTGCCAGGGCACCGGGCACTGAGCACTCCTGTGCCCTGTCCCACAGGGAGCAGGCAGCCGAGGGCTATTACCGCAGATCACCGATGTACTCCGGCGGCAAACACACCAGCGCCAGCCCCATGCAGCCCATGGAGCCCCTCCTTCCAGACCCCAACATGGTAGGGATGGGGACGGTGGGGATGAGGCTGGGAGAGTGATGCTGAGCGTCTGGGGGAGCATCTGTGCCTCAGTGTCCCCAGGAGGAGCTGGGTGGGGAGGCAGGCTTGGGGATGCTGGATGCAGCCCGGTGTGGCAGAGCCAGACCATCCCCTCCTTCCCAGCCCGGCACGTACGACCTGATGGGCAAGGATGGAGTCTTGTACCGGGGCCGGACTTCCCCGGGGAGGGACTGAGCAAGCAACGCCAGCCTGCAGAAATAAAGGGCGACCACCAGCCTGTGCCCCCTGAGCAGGATCTGTCCTTCGTGCACAAGGAGGGGCCGGCAGCATCCCCTGTCCTGAAAGCAGCCCCTGTGAAAGCCCGGCTGTGTCAGCCCCCTGGTGTCGTGCACTCCCTGGCCCTCCCGAGCCCCAGTCGTGCCCTGCCAGGGGACCCCCAAACGGGGAAAGCAGGAGGAGGAGGAGGAGGAGGAGGAGGAGGAGGAGGAGCTCTTTTGCTGCTGGAGAAGAGGGAAATGGGGACCTCAGCGGGAAGGGCAGCAGCAGAGCACAGTTTGATGCCAAAAGCAAATCGCAGCCCGAGCCGCTGGTTTGCTGCCACTTATCCCGGGATGAGCATGGCTTGGAGGTGAGCATGGAGGTGCCTTCCTCACCCTGAGTGAAGAAACCCCCCCCGCCACCCCTCGTCCCTCCCGCAGCGCTGCCACCGACCGAAGGCACGAACCCCTCTGCTCCCAGCTCCAGCCAAAAGCAGAGGGACACGGCCCCTCCCTCCCCTGGTGTCACCCCAGGGCTTGGGCTGCTTCTCCCAGCCCCCCCTGCCACCATCCCCGTGCCACCATCCCCCTGCCACCCTCCCCGTGTCACCCTCCCCGTGCCACCATCCCCGTGCCACCCTCCCCGTGCCACCCTCCCCGTGCATGGGAGGAAGCCCCAGTGCCTGCTGAGGAACCGGGCAGGGAAACCCCGACCCCTGGAGCAGCACGGGGACACCGAGGGGTGTCACAGCTGGGGACACGTGGCTGTGTGCGCAGGGGACTGGGGATGTCCCCTCTACAGGGGCAGTGACACTTCCTGGGGGGGACACACCTCTCGGGTGAGAAAGCCTGAGGGGAACCCCACTGGAACCTCGGGGGGCCCCAGAGCTTATGGGGGACATCCCCTGGGGGCTGCCCTGCCCTCCCGGTGGATGTCCCCCCACAGGGACAGCCTCCATCCCTGTCAGCTCCACTGTACTCCACAGGCACGGGGAGTTCCCCCTGGAATGTTCTACCTGCTGGGTTTGGTTTTTCAGGGAAAAACCAGCTGCTGAAAACCTTCTTTGGGGGTACTGAGGTGGACACAGCTGGATCTGGCATGTCCCCAGTGCCACATCCTGCAGGATAACTGGGAACACTCTGGGCAAACCCCTGGGCACCAGGGCAGAGCCAACAAAGAACCATCCTGCACTCCTGGCTGGGGTTGAGGGGCTGAAAAGCAAACACCTTTGGGACTGATTGCATTTGCAGGACATGGCCCAGCTGGGGTCACCTCATCCTCCTGCCCCTTTGGCTGCCCCCAGGATCCAGGTGCACCCTATAAACACCCCCAGCCACAACACCCCCAGCCCTGGGTGACGTTTGGAGCAGGTAAAGTAACCCCAGCTGGATTTTTTTGCCTTTTCTCCTTGGAGTTTGTGCCATCCTAGGGACCTCCCCATCCCTGCAGGAAGCTTTGCACTGTGCCTTGAGCCTCCCTGTCATTCCTGACATTGCCAGAGCTGCCGTGCTCCCATTTTTGGGGTTTTACCCAAATTGGTGTGTGAACACAGTGGCCACAGGCCTGGTGAGCTCCCATGTCCTCTGGCTGGTGGCCCTTCTGCAGAGGGGGACACTCAGGACACCATCCCCTCCCCCAGTGTCCCCACAGTGCTGAGGCCTGGGGGGCTCATCCCTGGGTGGGTGATGGAGCTGGGGGGGCTCTTGCAAGCTGTGAGATTTTGTGAGGGGTCAGACAGGGGTGCCAGCTGCACCCCCTGGCACATGGGGGCTCCTCGCTGTGCTGGCACAGCACCCCCATGGCCCTGGGTCTTCCCTTCCCTCTGATCCCCCTTCTCTGGGGACAGCAGAGGTGGCTTGTGGAGGCAGAGCACAGACTCAGTCCCCACTGATGACACTGCCTCACAGAGGAGTCACCCCCATTTTCAGTGCCCTGCCAGGGACACCCTCCCAGCAGAGAGAAAAGGCAGGGACAGCTGGTGTTAAAAAAGTGATTTTTTTTTTTTAATTTTTATTATTTTTTAAATTAATAAAAAACCTTCAACCTGTTTTTTTGCTGGGTCTTTTTTATCTTTTTTTTTTTTTTTTTGGTTTGTTTTTTTGTTTGTTTTTTTTAAGCAACATTGATTTGAAAACTAAAAAACCCCCAGCTCCCCCCTGCCTGGGGAAGCACCACGTAGGGCGGTCACAGGGACAGGGGGACATCACTTTGATAAACCCCCAGGCCCTGGGGGTGCTGAGGGAGGGAGGACAGGGTTGGGGGCAAGTCCAGGGGGGGTCTGTGCAAGAAGCCGGGCTGAATTTCGGGAGCCAGAGAGCTGCTTTTGCTCTGGGCACTGCAACAAGGGCCCAGGGAGCCAGAGCTGGGGAGGGTGTCCAGTGGCTCCATGTCCCTGTGGCTATGGTCTGGGGTGCCAACAGCCACCTCCATCCATTTATTTTTGTTATTCATGTCCTCCCCTTCCCTCTCCTGCCCTGATGTAGAGATGCTGGGTGGGGATAGAGCCACAGGGAAAACCCCCCAGACACCCAGCAGCTGCCTCCACGCTGCTGCTCCTTCTCTCTGGATTTATATACATTAGATATATTTATATATTATAGTTATATATTTTTTTTAAAAAAGGGGAAGGGAGTAGAGAGCAGCCAGAGGCTCTCATGGGTCAGTGCCCTCCCTGGCAGCACGTGCTCCCCCCCGCCCTTAAAAATAATAATAAAACCTAGAAAATTCTTCCAGTGCGTTTCTCGGCGAGAGCCCCTGCTCCCAACGCCCCGGCCCGGCCCCCCCTGACCCCCCCAACCCTCCGCCAGCCCCAGCCTTATCTCTGCCCATCCATGGTGGCCACGGCTTTCTGTGGGGGGGCAGGGGCCGGGGGGGTGGGCGGCCAGGAGGGCTGCGGGTGGTGCAGGTGGTGGTGGAGGCCGTGGGTGGTGGGCGAGGACGGGGGCAGCCAGGCGGGCTGGTGGCTGGGGGGCGAGGAGGCCCAGAAGGGGCTGAAGCTGCCCGGGGGGGAGCAGGCCATGGAGGTGATGGGGCTGTTGCTGCTCTGCAGGCTCTCCGAGGTGCGCAGCTTGGAGAACATGGCCAGCGCGTCCGGGAAGTTGGGCGGCGTGGCCGGCGTGTTGCTGGGGGTGCACATCTGCAGGGCACAGCAGAACGGGGCTGTCAGCTCAGCCACGGGGGTGTTTTGGGGGTCCCAACCCACCCACGACAGCCAGACCCACGGCTGGGGATCCTGCCTGCATCCCACCTCCCCACATCCACACCCAGGGGTATGTGTGGCTCCCCCAAAGGTGCGGGGCGCCCGGGGAGAGGATCCAGCCAGTCTGGGAAGGACATTTTGGACCATCCTAGATGCTCAAAGCCCACGGATGAGGAGGGTTTGGGGAGCAGCACAAACAGGGCTGACGCAAAGGGGTCCAGCATGGAGGGTAGGGAGGGTTTTGGGGGTCCCAACCCACCCACAATAGCCAGACCCATGCCTGGGGATCTGTCCTGTATCCCACACCTGGTACCTCCCCACATCCACACCCAGGGGTATGTGTGGCCCCCCCAAAGGTGTGGGGCACCTGGGGAGAGGATCCAGCCAGTCTGGGAAGGACATTTTGGACCATCCCAGATGCTCAAAGCCCACGGACGAGGAGAGTTTGGGGAGCAGCACAAACAGGGCTGATGCAAAGGGGTCCAGCATGGAGGGCAGGGAGGGTGCTGGGGTCCTCCCTGGCCCCTTTCCCCAGGTTCCTCACCCTGTTCCCCTTCACACCCCATTATGGCAGAGAGAGCAAAAGGCAAGCAGGGCCCCCCCAGTTCCTGGTACAGGCCCTGCCTTCTTGGTACCCAGCTAAATTTAGCACGCGGACAGTGATGGATCCGTCCCTTTTTCCAGCAGAGGAAAAATCCACTAGGGAGGACCCAGCCCCGCTCCGAGGCTGGCACAGGGACCCCAAATCAGCAAAGAACTGGCTGAACTGAGAACTGGGGAGGGGCTAAAAGGGGGACAAGGGTGTGTATGCAAATCCCATGAGGATGCACACACAGGCAGGGGGATGCCTGGATATGGAGGGGTGCATGCACAGGGAGACTTCATCCCTCTGCTTAAATCCATCCCAAATCCCTGCTGCCCTCCTGGAGCCACAACTCCTGACAGATGTTTGTGGGGACTTCAAGCAGAGTTAAGGGGCTTGGACAGTGTCTGCTGCCTTTAACAATGGGGGAGTGAGATGTTTCTGGTGGGGAATAGCTGCTTCATCTCCCCCTTCCTGGGCCTTATCCCAGGATTTGCCCCTGGCTGGTGCTCAGCAGCCCCTGCTGCTCCTCAGCACAGGCCTAAATCCCTCTTAGAGGTTCCTCCTCATCCCCATCCTGGCCACCCTGAGTGATGCTGGGATCAAAGGAGCAAACCCTTGCTGGGGGGCCCAGACCCCTGAATTCAGGGTGCTCCCCCAGCCTGAGGGAAGCAGCAGCTGGTTCTCATCAGCCTGTGGAGCTGGGACACCCCAAAAATGCAATTCAGTGCCTGGCTGGCACTGAACATGTTTATAGTTAACCAGGGGTATTCCTCCACAGAACTCATTTCAGAGCTCAGCTTCAAGTGGTGCTAACCCAGCCTCTGCTTTTTAAATTAACCTATACATTTGGCAGTATTTGAAAAGATACTTGTTGGAAAAAAAAAAAGCCCCAACGAATCAACAAACCCCCAAAACCTTCTATTTTGAAAAAAAAACCCACCCCCACCACAACGAGTCCTGGAATGATGCTGGACACAGCTCTGAGCTTCTGGGCTGATGTTTGCCAGATCAATTTGAAATATTAATTAAAAAATAAGAATTTCCATGTAATTATTGCCTTCCTCCTCCAACACATCTTGGGAAGAGCTGTCAGAGGGTCAGTCACCGACACCCCAAACAGCTCTGGCAAGCCCTGGCCCCACAGCCTGGAATCTGTGGGGGCTTGGGGAGTGTGGGGGGCTCCCCACGGGGTGGAGGTGACGGGGACAAGCCCCCGCCCATCAAACCACAGCCGCACTCACAGCTTTGTTCCCTGACGCCTGAAAAAGAAATAGAAACTGCCAGCCCCAAACTCTTCATCTCACGCCTGCCCCGAGCCCTGTGGGGCATTTCAAACTGCACAAATCCGGATGCTGGGGAGGGGGAGGGAAACACCAAATAAATTCCCCAAAACAGGAGTATCTGGAGAGAAGGTAAAAGGTGCTTTGACACCACGTGGAGCACACGTTGTTGAGGAGGGGGAGAAGCGGGTGGCTCGGTTCTGGGCGGGGGGAATGGGGTGCCTGTTTTGGTTGGGGGGGGGTCCCTGTGCGGGGATGGGGTTCACCAGCCCTGCTCTGCATCCCGCCGGCAGGAATTGCCCCGATGAGGCTCTGGGGTGGGAACAGCAGGGCCTGGGTCTGCTCCCTGCTGCTCCCCCGGCCCCTCTCCCTCCGGGAACGCGGCTTTTCCACCAGGAGCTCCTGCAGCCCGCCCGGGGCAGCTCGGAAACGTGCGGGCTGGGCAGGAATTGCAATAAAAGGGGTTTTAGTGGGAGCTGGCTGACAAAGCGACTTTCTCCGAGGAAAGCCCAGCGCTTGCTGCCGGCAATGCCGGGCTGGCTGGCGATTCCCGACGGAACGAGAAAAGGGGGGAAATTCGCCTTATCCCCGACCCGCTCCTTCCCCCACGCCGGCACCGTCCAGTTCCCTCAACACTGGAGGATGGCGGAGGGGGAGAGAGGGAAAACAAGAAAGAAAACCCCCAGAGAAACACAAAACAAAACACCCGGAGGGGAACAACTTCCTCCCTTCGGCCAAGGGGATGTGCCCTCGGCCAAGGTCAAGTGGCGTGGGGGGAAAAGGGGGGGTCCAGACGTGGCCCCCCGGCCCGGGGAGTCCAAGTTGCAGCGCGATGCTCGCCGAGACAAACTATTTCCTGGCAGACATTTTAGCTCGTGTTTACATTCTCCGGCTGCGTGTTCCTGCGGGCGCCCAGCAATATGGCTGGCAGGGAGCTGACAGCTCCGGGGGCCGCTTCACCGGGGGGACCGGGGGGCGCCGCCGGCCCCGCCCCCGCGCGATGATTGGCCGCCGCCGCGCCCCGCGCCCCGCCCACCGCCGGCTTCGAACCTTCCAGCTGCCCCGGCGCCTCCCCATTGGCCACCGCCTGTGTTTTGGCTGCAGGCGGCGTCGCGATTGGCTGGGGGTGGCGGAGGCGGGGCCAGGCGGGAGGGAGAGAGGGAGAACCGGCCGCTGATTGGCTGTGCGGGGGTTTTATCGTGAGGCGTTGGTGACGTCACGTTCATTGAGGAGGTTCATTGAGGAGGGGCTCATTGAGAGGGGTTCGGTTTGGGGGGCGTTCATTGAGGGGAGCTGTTCAGGGGTTATTGAGGGGGTCAGGGAGGTTCATGCAGAGGGGGGTTCACTGTTGGGGGGTCACAGAGAGGGGGGCTCCGCCTGTCTCTGGACACCCCTGTTGGGGGGGCCACTCCCATGGGGGCTGCACTTTAACCCCCTGCCTTGGCTCCCCCAGCCTGGCTTACCCCTCGTTCCCTTAGCAGGGCTCCTCTCTTCCTTCAGCAAAGCTCTCCCAGCTCTCCTCCTTCCTGGGGACCCTGCTGCCCCCTCCGGGGATCCCCCTTAACCCCCTGCCTTGGCTCTCCCGGTGCTGCTCTCCCATCTGGGCAGTTTCCCCTGGGGATAGGACCCTCAGCAGATGCAGGGGCAGGAGCAGGGACCCATCCTCTTCATCCCCATGCCCCTCCCATGTACAGGCTGTGGGATTCAGGGCAGCTCCCGTTTGGAGTGGGAGGGGCTTGGGATTTTTTTGTTAATGGTTAAAATCCTGATGATTTGAGCTCCAGTCTCAGCCTGCAAGGATGAACTCTCCCCTGGTGTGCTCTCCCCACACCACGTTTAGGGATCTGAGTGGGACTTGTGCGATTCGTGCCTTGAAGTGTTTTGATTAAAAAAGGAAAATTGGCATTTAAACCCCAAACAAATAAAGGAGAGACTTTGTAAATGCATGGTGTGAAAACAGGTTGATCTGGGAAGAGCCACTGGAAGTTTGGATGTGGTGGTGGTGACCAGCTGGCCAGGGGAGAGGGAATGAGGAGGAGGAGAAATGGAAACTCGGAGCTGCATCTGCAGTTGGTTAGCCCAGCAGTGATGGCCTCTGTGGGGCTTCTGCAAAGTCCTGCTGGTCCCATGAAGGTGAAGCCCAGCAATGCCAGTCTGTGGCTGGAATCCTCCCAGGACATTCGGGGGATCCCACCACTGGGGTTCAGCGATGGGTGTGGGGGGTCCTGCTTTCCCAGCAGGATTTTGTTAGCTTTGTCTTCTTGGAGCGAAACCAGCCTTGAGGCAGGTGGAGTGTGAGAGGAGCAGTTGCAGATGCAGGGATCCCAGACCCACCTGCCTGTGCACGCAGCCCTGGCGAGCTCTCAGAGCCTCCTGCTTGCCAAAGCCACCCATGTGCACAGCACGGCTTCCAGCTGGGAGCAGCTGGCCTGGGGTAGTGCCTGCCTGGCAAACCCACGGGAATGCAGCTCATGGGCCCTTGGCACCCAAAGCTGTGACAGAGTAGTGCTGGTGACACTTGGAGAAGTCAGCAGGACTGTGAGTTCTTCAGAATGAGCCCTTTTTGGGGCAGGATTCGCTGTCACCTCTCCGTGCTGAGATGCTCCTCCAGATGTGCTGCCCTGACTCCCCGCTGGGAGCCTGGGGGGTCACCCCTGCAGGCAGAGGGGGCTCCCAGCACCTCCCCAGGCTGCGGAGCCCTCGGCTGGCACCAGGGAAGGGTCACCCCCTGCCCAGGCATGGCCACGGCAGGGCTGCACAGAGCAGAGCCAGCCCAGGAGGAGAGGGGCTGCTGCTTCCCAGTTTGTGCTGGGAATGTGCAGCTTTCTGCTGTGGGTGGGCTGTACACCCTCCTGTTGTAACATTAACTGCTGTGCTCTGCCGTGACTCAGTTTCCCTCTCAGCACAACGAGGCAGGACCCTCTCTCTGTGCCATCCCAAATCCCACAGCCAGGCAGCACATGAATTTTGGGTTTAAACGTTGCATTTTCTCTGGATTCCCACTCCGGGTCAGCCCTGCTGGGGTTTCTCCTGGCTTTACTTGTGCTGGGATGTGCAGCCGGGCAGATCTGGGAGGGACCCTGCCCTCGAAGCCGTACCATCACCCAGCCCCTGCCTCGCTCCCGCGCTCCACTGCGGCACTGTCCTACAAAATCCTCTGCTGCAGTAATCGCTGGGAAAAAAACCACGAGCCGTGCATGCAGGCGGCAGCTCTGCGTGTAATGACTGCCGGGTTATGGATCTGCACGGGGATAACTCTGAATTATTGCCTGCACTAAAGCCCTGCAGTCTGCTGTGTGCTGCCAGTAATGAAATGGGCTGGCTCCCTATCCCAGTTTCCCGCTGTCGGTGCTGGCTGGAGCGAGGCAGGGGACTGGGGCTGGCAGCTCAGCAACGCTGAGCTGTGCTGGAGTTTTAAATTATCCGTGTGTGTAGAACAGGATCCCCAAAAGTGTGTGTTGGGGTGAGCAGGGATCAGTTCCTGGCATCTCGGGGCTCCCAGCTGAGCGCCAGCGCTCAGAGCTGGAGCAGGCTCCCGGTGTGGATGCTGACCTCGGCTCCTCCGAGAGCCATTTGGGTTTGAAAAGATCTTTAAGATCATGGAGTCTTCAATCCTCCTCTTCAACCGGTGCTCCCGCTGGCACCCAGCCCAGGTGTGACATCCAGCAGCACGGACATGGTGTCACTGCTGGGAATGTGGGTCCCGGTGTGACAGTGGCAGGCTGACAAACAGGCTACAAAGCCACCCCGGGCTGCTCTTTAATTTGGCTTTTCTCAGCTGCCTCTGGGGTTGTGTGGGTAGGAAGCAGCTGGGAGGGGGGTTCGTGTGTCCCTCTGCAGGGAGGGGATAAAGCGGGGAGCCCCAGGGACGGCCTTTGCTCGTCACCACTGAGTAGCCGAGGACATCAGGGCAGCTGATCCGCCTCCCCGCACATCTCCCGTTTGATATTTATAGCGCTCGTGTTATCAACTCAAATCAAAATCATGTGATGCTCCACTGACTGGCGCTGCCGGACTAATTAATCACCGGCGGGTTTAAGTGAGCGGTCAGAGGGTCCATCCTTCCTCTTCGGCTCCAAGTGGAAAATGAGGAGGTGACCAGTGCTTCCCAGTAATTTAACTCTGGGGGGACTGGGGGAATCTGTCGGGGTCCGCTGGAGCGCACAGGGAGCTCTGCCTCCAGAGGCAGCGGCCCCGGGCGTGGAGCAGAGCTGGGAGGGCAGCGTGGGGATGATGGGATGTGCGCTGGAGGGGGCTCTAAGCCGGCCCCTCCCCAGCGCTGCTGGAGGGGATCAGCCCCTGTGCCAACAGCTACACAAAATCCTTCCCGCTATAACCTGTCGGGAAAAGTGGGGGCTTGTCCTTCTCCCAGGGGACACGCCGGCGGCAGGGGGTACAGGGACAGAGGGACCATGGCCGGTCCGCCCCTGGGGGTCCCTGAGCTGGGATTGCTGCTCGGTGCCACCCCGCTGGGGGGGCTGGGGGCAAGGATGGCAGGAGGGCGGGCCGTGGTGACCAGAAGTCACTGCGGGGTGACTGAGGGTGGCGGACGGTGGCGAGGAGGGCCACTGAGCGGCACTGGAGGCAACTGGGTGACACGGGGCATGGCAG